CTACCTCAAATTTTGTTGATCAACAAAATTTGAGGTTGAAATTTTGTTGATCAACAAAATGGTGGTTTCCCATATTGAGAATTTTGTTGATCAACAAAATTTCGATTGACATTTTTATTGATCAACAAAAAAATAAAAAAAAATGTTGATCAACATTTTGGCCAATTTGGGCCTTGGGCGGTGTATCTCTTTTTTGTCAACAGGCCATCAAATATTTGACTGAATATTTCTTTTGGTCATCTGAAATCCAACTGCTCCCTGGCACTCTGAGGCCTAGCATTGGGTGACGATTGGAGGCCACAGTGGGGCTTCAACCAGATCACGATGTGGGTTTTCATCTTGTGTTGGCTTGCATGGACTGGGAATCTCTTCAAGTGGATGGGGCCAACATTTGAATTTGGAATGATTGGGGCACCCATTCTTTTGGCACATGCCCATCGGTTTGATGACGCAAGTTGACCCAGTCGCGAGAATGTAGACCCTCTGCAACTGAACCCTGCGAGAAACTCTGCAGGGTTTTCAGAAGGTAGATTGGATTCATGGTCAAACGCGCTACCACCTCATTCGCAACATACCCAGTGGAATTGCCCCTGCTTTACATTCTCAGGTGGGCTGCCCTTGCCTGCAGATTGGAGGCCTATGCAGGTGCCTCCCTTTGTGGGTGCTTCAATTGCACCATATAGAAAAATGTGAGATGTTGTAGAGCAGTGGCAACTTCAGGATTCTCAAAAGGAAACCATCATTTCTTTGTGAGCATTGCAGGACATGCCAGGCAGCATGGTTTGAAACACCATGCACTGAATCTTGCCCTGATGTGCTCAGACATCATGCACTGACTGTGGAGTCTGCAGATTCGTCGCAGGCTTTGTCGCAGAGTCTCTGATCTCGCGACTGTGTGGCTCGTCCTGGCCCAAGACAAACTGAAGGATTGGATGCCCCACCACGAGATGGCGTCAAGTGAATGGATGCCCCACCTCATTCCTCAGTCAAACAACTAGAATCACCAATCAATGTTGTGTTAAGAGAAGTCGTTTCGACACGAGGCTGTAGGCTCTACAGGTTTGCAAGGGGGTTGGAACACAGTGTGATCATCCAACATGTGCACCGATCAATGGACACAAGGTTCAATAATGAATCGACAGACATAAGCACCAAGAAATGTGTTTTGTTCCAGCACATGTCCTCACCAGGCTGGAATGCTGCCAACTTGGATTGCGAGGCGGGCAGCGCTGTGGGACTCCCCACCTTTGTGAATCACTGCAGAGTTGTTGCAAGCTCGCATGGTTGGGTTGCAGAACTTTAGATCTCGCAACTATACAACTAGATATGTTGGTTCAGGTGTCCAAGGGCTGGCGTGGCTTCAGAAGCCATTGTGATGCAGAGGCCTGCAATCTGAGTATCACAATAGATCTCTAAACTTTGCAAGGTCTTTGGATGCTTGTGCACAGTGTGCATTCTTGGTCGCACTGCTTTGTATACCGAACAAACAGATTACCAAGATTCGATTGTTTTGGTTGTATACATTGGCAACTTCAGGATTTGCAAAAGCTAGTCTTTATCAGCATAGCAGGGCATCAGTATACATAGACCCAGTCGCGAGAATAGGCTCTCTGCAACAGAACCCTGCGAGTCACTACAGAAACTCTGCAAGGTTTAGAGGTGGGTCTCTATATAGATTCGTCGACATAACAAAACTGAAACTGTCGATGAAAGTTCCATGGATTGTCATGATTCAGTCATTCAAACATCCTGCAGTGCTCGCCAGCTCGCAGGACTACTTGCAGAGGATTGCAATCTCCCAGGTGGGAAACCTATAGAATATGAGTTTCATGAAGGTGACGACATTCAAATGGCATCAAATTCGAATGTTGTCAGTCTTGCCAGACATCAGATAAGTGAATCTTAGTTTGATGTGCTCAGAAATTTGGATGTTGTAGAGCACTGGCAACTTGAGGGTTTGCAAAGAGCCAGTCTGCATGAGCAATGCAGAACATGAAATACTTGAAACGTGTTCTGATGTTCTCGGACTGTGCTGGCTGTGAAGTCTGCAGATGTATCGCAGACTTAGCCGCAGAGACACTGATCTCGCGACTGTGTGGCTCATCAGCTTTTGTTTTGGCATCCATCCAGCCAGTTGCTTTTCTTCAGCACCCACTTGCCATCATGTCGATGTTCCAAAGCACCCACTTGCGCCTTTACAAGTGGAAGCACGTTGGAACTGCTCGCGACAGCGAGTGGCTTCTGCTAGATCAGAGTGGCCAAGTGTTCTTCGTAAGAAGAACGAAGACACAGCGCTTGGCCATTGGAGCACAAGGGTCATGGGCCATGCAGAATGGGAGGTTGCATCTGAAGGAGTTCGCATGCACCCCTGGTGCCACCTTGCGAGACCACGACTTCAGCGTGGTCAAAGCTGAGCACTACGTCGATGGCAACAGGCGACTCCTTCACGTCGCTGAGATTGACCGCTGGAAGGGTACCATCGCATGGTCTCCCACGGTGCGAGGATTCACCCGTGACCAGTGGCTCTACGTGGTCCAGAAGGTCAAAGAAGAAGTGTTGGACTTCATCGGGTGCGCCCACATCACGGTCGACACCCAGGAGGCCAGTGAGTGGCAACTGTTGTTTTAAGCTCCCGAAGGGATGAATCGTCGGTTCCTTGTGTCCCTGTGGATTTGGAGCTGACTTGAAACTTTTACCTTGCCGGGCCCAGTTTTGATTGGGTCGACAGGCCGCTTTGTGAACAAAAAAGGGATTCGTGATTCATCTGCTTTCATGGACAGTGTGGCGATACGTACACGTGATTTTTTTGGTGCCATCACACACACACACACCGTATATGTTGTGCTATATGGACCTGTGTGCAGGTGGAACGATGATGATGATGATGATGATGATGATGATGATGATGATGATGATGATGATGATGATGATGTGCACCCTTCAATCTTAAGTCGTTTTTGAAATTGGCAAACTACATGGCAACACATGTGAAACTTGATGAACAGAAAGTGTCTTTACGCACTGGGATCTTTGACTTGCACAAGAAATGCTTGATTGAATTTATTGTTGACCACTTCTTCTGCATGCCAAAGGGTTTGAGCGACCCTTTTGATGCAATTCACTTCCTTGAAGTTGCATTACTTGACCAATTGTCGAATGCATCATCCTTGTTTTGACATCGGAGTGTGTTTGAAACAAGAAGTGTATAAGACTGCCAAACAAGCCCTGCAGATTTTTGTTCAAATAAATCGCAGGGTTCAGTTGCAGGGGTACTACCTCGCAATTGCATTGGCAAGAAAGACTTTTGGCCCAGACACCTCGCATATAGTGTTCAACTATCACCTTGCTGATCCAAGCATGGCTGGAGCTGCCGAGTATGTTTGGGGCATGGTGATCATTGGAACCCACGCCTCCAGAGCCACTTGCAGCTGAGCGAGGGAGTGATGACGTGCACGATCCCTGACAAGGACTTCCAACATGTGCCGCCAAGGCAGGTGGAGAGACTGGAGGCCCATGAGGATATCTTCATCCTTGGCAACGGGTATCCAGCCCTGCGCTACTTGCTGGTGTGCCGCAGCGACGATGGGCAGTCGGTCCTTTTCCGGGGACCGGCAGCGATGGCAGATTGCATCTACTGCAAGAAGATGCCGCTGAAAACCGTGGTCATTAAGCTGACTGGCCACTTGGAAAATCGCCCTGACTGGGATCAGCCCTTGATCCGCTTCAAAGCCTGGATGGCAGCGTCGGGCGAGTGTTTGAAAGCCGACGGGTGGCTGTTGCCGTCTTCGGATCGGATCTATCCAAGGCAGATTCAAGACCTTGCGCGACATCACATCGAGGATTCCCATGGACCAAACGTTGAGTGGCGATTCATTGGCAGGGCCATGAACCTCTTGCCGCCGATGACTCCCCTTTGGGAGCCTCGCTGCACAGAGGTCACGCCAAAGATGAGGCTGTGGAGCAAGATGGTGCCACCTTGCGTGCGCATGTACAACTCCATTGACATGGACATGTGATGGCTTCGAGCTGCCTGCCAAAGATGGATTGGCAGCAGCATTTTGTCAAATCAAATTGTGGGATTCCCATGCATAAAAACAGGCATTTGGCCACCCTCGCAAAAGGAACCATGGTTTCGCATCATATGAGCAGAGTGGTTGTTTCAACGCATTCTGGGATGCCCATCTATAGATCAGTTTTTGCGTCACCGCCGTGCTTGACGTGAGAAAAAGACTCCAGCCAACAAGCTTCACTTACAGTTGACAGCAACCAAATGTTCAAACAATATCTTCCTTGACAATCATCCCAAAATAATCCAAAAAATGCTTGATGTCAAAGCTGCAAGAATTCTTGCGGTTATTTAGCTTGGACTTCCTGCGAGGATTCTTTCTCTGCGGTGCCACTGCGAGTTGCCACTCTGCAGAGACGAAGCGAGATGCACGGTGCCCGTCATTTGCATACTTGTTGACATTAACTTATAGTTTTGACTAAGCCCCATTTTGTATGCAAAACGCGATGCAAAACGCTCTGCAGGTCAGCAATGCAGGTGAATGATCTGTGAAGCCTTTTTTTGGTTGGGAACCCCAAGTCGCCGGTGAATTCTGGAGTTTGATTTTTTCTGCAGCATTCTGGAGTTTCTCTACGACATTTCAAACATTGGTTAAATTGTTGGTATCAGAAATATGTATTGGCATCAGGCCATTCACCATCCAAGTTTTCCAGCACAACAGCTTTGTGGCAACGTGTCTAATTGCAAACCACCTGATGCAGCAGAGTCATGTCCTCGCTGCATCACTGAGCAGAGCTGCGTGCTCGCTCTATAGCGGATCAAGTCCAACGCTCAACACAGTGAGAGGCATCCTTCCCATACAGCAGAACACCACAAGATATACCAATGTGACTGTTTAGTAAAGTGTTTCTTTTGGAAAGGTTCAATAAATGTTGTCAACATGTTCGCTCTTTTGACACCACACTTTTCGATGCCGTTCTTGCATCTCTGAGCAATGACCCTGGCAGATTTGGGCCGCAAAAAATTTGTTTCACAGAGTGCTCTCAGCGAATTGCTGAAGGAACTGAAATCATTAGATGAACTGCCTGCTGCTACATCCAGATCCAGCGTCAAACGTGCCCGGGATGAGAAGATGAAGATCCATACGCCAGTTGGGCCCTTATTTACAACCAGAAGTCTGGCTGCGAACGATGGTGCAGGCCACATGCCAAATGATTATGTTTGCATCGATTTGATGATTGTTTGTTCCATTTGGTTAATCACGGGTATGATCAATGACATGTTTCAAGTTTCTTCATATATGATCTGTATACCAGACTCTGCAGGTGATGTTGAATGCACCTTTGTTGACCCTTGTGCGCTCTTGTGGCACCTCTGCAGAAATTCTGAATCATTTAGTGGCTTCATGGAAGCAGAGATGGCTCGCATTCCGACTTCTCAGTCCCAACCATGGTCGTTGGTACTTTATTCGGATGAAGTGAGTCCGGGGAACTCGCTGAAACCGGACAACCGGCGTAACTCCTGCACTGAAACACCAGTATTTTTTTTGGTACTGTATGTATGTTTCTTAGATGTTTGATGTGACATGATGTGACCTGAACTTATACCAAGTCCTATCAGGTAAGTTCTACGCATACTATTGGTCACTGATCCAGCACGGTCAGCGTGGCTTAACCAGGGAAGATTTGTGGCACACAGTATCTATAGTTCGCAGCAACAACGTGGGAAGGCTGCAGGGAGGTGTCAGTTGTTTGACGAAGGTCATCACCCAGCTCTTTACTCCTCTGGAATCAGGACTCCTTCTCACACTTCACAGTGGACGCAAAGTCTTCTTGTTTGGACGCCTTCGGTGTCTCATCGGAGACGAAGCCGCCTTAAAGGCGATGTGGGCTGTCAAGGGAGCAGCTGGTACCCTGCCCTGCCTGTTCTGTTGGAACATAGTGCAGGCCCGAAGCGACCTCCATCTGTCGGATCCCAGCGGCACTTTAGTCCCCCACACGTGTTTTGACATAGGGCAGCTGCAGCTACGAACCGATGCTGAATTGGCCGCAGCGGCCTTGATGTTGTCATCTGAGAAGCCACTCCGTACAAAGAAAGCTTTTGAGACCCTGGAACAATCCCTAGGGATAAATTTCAATCCCGACGGTATGCTTTTCCATCCGGACTGTCCTCTCAAGCCCATTGAGCACACTATGTTTGACTGGCTGCATGTATATCTTGTCAATGGAATATTTCAATGTGAAATCAATTTGCTGCTCCCTGTTCTCGCGGCAAATGGCCGAAGTCATGCAGCTCTTTGTCAGTTTATGAAATCTTTCCAAGCTCCACAAGATCAGAAGTCGAATCTCACCGGTGCCATCAAAACCTTTGAGAAATCCAAGACAAAAGACGGTTGGAAACCCTTCGCCAGTGAAGTTTTGTGCACATACCCATTGCTCAGGCTGTTTGTCATGGATACTGCGTTTGTCCAGGAAGGACATATTCTGATGGCCTCATCCTTTCTACTCCTCTGTCGAATATTGGATCTGCTTTCCATGATCGGAAAGGATGTGCAGGTAGATGCTGTGACGTTGGAAGGTCTGATCCAGCGTCATCTGACAGCGTTTAAGAACGCTCACGGTGAAGACGAACTTGTGCCCAAGTTCCATTATGCTCTACACTTACCGCCCCTACTAAGACAGCATGGCCTTCTCATATCATGCTGGACGCATGAACGCAAACACAAATCGCTCAAACTTTTCGCGAACCAAGTTAGCAACGCCGGAACTTGGTACGAGATGTCGGTCTTGCGAGAAGTGACGCACAGTGCCATCAACTGCATCCTGGACTTCAAACCCAGCGACATCAGGTTGCAGAAGCCAAAGCCATCCAGGAAGATGAAGTGCGCAATCCTTGAGTTGGATTTTTTAAGGTGCATGGATGGTGCTTTTGTTGCCACTGTGGCAGACATTCACGGCTTGACTTGTCATGCAGGTGATGTGGCACTGCTACGTTTGGACGGTTCCGAATGTGTTGGGCGCGTGCATTTACACGCAGATCTTAGCGGAGGCATCCTCTGAAGTGTAGTCAGTATTTGGGAAGCCATGGGCAACAACAGATTCAAAATCACTTCCCATGGACGATGGGTGGAGACCAGGCATCTTGTCTTTGGAGTATCATTATCTTTGAACATCTCCCGAAGCTGGACAATTGTATTTCAGTTCTTATATATATATATATTTGGTTGAATGCCATTGGCGTTTTTTGGGTCAACATACCATCTTTGAACATCCATTATATATTGATATGAAAACTGAATCATACTCAATTTTTAGATACCATTATATATTCCAAATACAATTCATATTGCTGAGGTCTATTCTGCGTACGCTTTACCACCATGACGAATCCGATGGTCTGCACGCGACAGTCGCACCATGAAGATTTTGAGAATGTACCTCTGAAGACATTTTGATGCCAATTTCAAACATCAGCTGCCAGAAAAAAGTCAGGTAGCATGCAGAAGTCACGTGTCACTGTCAGGGTTGTGAACCATGTCAGCAGGTTGCCCACGGTGCAAGCACTTGCGTGATATAGGGTTTGCTTCAGATCACCTTCCCCTGCTTATATGTCCAGTGAAAACAAATTACTGAAAAAAAAGGAATTGAAAAATATAAGTATCTTTGTTTGTTCAAATCGATTTACATATATGCCCCACAGCTGCATCATTGTATCGGTTCCTGTTCGTTCCTGCATGCCAGGCTCGTGGATGCATCGATCCCGCAGAGGTGCGAACTGTCATTTGTTGGTGGCAGCTGACGCATCGAGAAGTGGACAGTGCAATTACTGTTTGTCGATATGTCCGGCAGTGCTTCAACGGCTGCTTGACACTTGCACAGCAGAGATGTCGCTGTGCGCACTTTGCAGAGTTCAACTCGCAAAGCACTTGGAGCCTCATGTTCCCATAAAAGCAAGGGATGGCCCATTGCTTGCAGCTGTGGCTCAAAGATTTTGCAAAGAAACAGTATAAGGTGTATACATATAGAATTTCATGGCGACCCTTTTCTCTGATATCAAGGCTGATATCACTCACATCCAGGCCTTGGTCCAAGCCCAGGTGGACACGCTGGGTCACGACGAATCATTTGACCGTCAACAAGTCCTTGGGGTACAGGCTGAGAATTGCAAGCGTCGCCTTCGGCAGCTGAAAACCATTTCCGCAGAGGAATGCTTTGAGCTGCAGGACCTCATCTTCAAGGGTCCTTGGAGTGCAGAGATGAAGACCAGCATGGTCAACATCCTGAACGATGCTTCCCGAGATGAAGGTGGGACCGGAAGCGAGGGCAAGCAGTATTGCCCAGCATTTGTGGCATTTCTGAGCAAGAGTGATGTTCAGAAACTAAACGATCCAGACATGGGCAACATGATGAAGATTCAGGTCCTGGCAGAACGCACCCTGAACATTGGCTTCTTCAGGCCAACTGAGCCGGGGTACAAGATCATTCTTGCTGCCGGTTGTGCCAATGGCATGACGGTGCAGCCAAGCGAGAACCTGCCCTTCATCAACGAGTTGAAGCGCTTGGTCCGTGGAGGTGCGAAGAAGCGCCCCAAGCCCAGCCCATGGTTGCTCAGGTTTCCCAACCAGCCAAGTGAACTTCCTCCTGCTCTCTTGGAGTCAGCATATGCTGCTGACGACCCACCAGTGTCTCTTCAAAACGTGGCAGAGGCAGCTGCCTTGAAAGCATCCGTAGATCTTGGGTGCCGCAAGTCTGGGGTGGATTTAGTAAGGTTCTTTGCGCTGATTGGTGGTGCTTCTATGTTTTAAGACATGGTTATAGAGTTGGTTTTTAACATATGTTACAAGTCATTCAGGGATATGTATGTGTTGCCCAAAACTCTCTTGATTTAACATATTGGAGAAAACGTATTGCTTCAAACATGTTTGTCTTGTTTAGATGTTACTGTTTCCATGATCGACTCATGTAAATTCATATGTCACATGCCTTGCCGAAGGCTAAACCCTCCTGAGCAAAGATCATTTACCAGTGTTTCCATAATGAATTCAGATTTCCTGTCCTGGCCAAGGAGGTACACCTTCCTGAGCAAGGATTTCATTCACAAGTTTTCATTATCACACCTCCTGACCAGGACCAAGGAGGTGCACGCAACAATCATTGACATGTTTTCATTATCCATCAGTGTCCTGACCAAGGAGGTGCACCCTCCTGAGCAAGGATCGTTGACATTCATCATATAAGCTTCCTTGGCCAAGGAGGTACACACTCCTGAGAAAAGTGTTTTGTGAACTTCTTCTTTTTTTTTGCCACGTTCATTGCGCAGAGAGGCTTCTATAGTTTCCTGGACAATTGGTCAACACCAGCAGCTACTAGGGGGAAGTCACGCAAGGAGGCTCCTTAGGTCTCCTGTGTCAGTAGCAGCGTTTTCTCAACCAATGTTTTCAGCCATGTGTCAGACGAGCCAAGCGACAAGATTTGGCCAGCTCCTCATGCCGGTGAGCCCAAAGAGGTCGACTTTGTTTTGCAATTCTGAGAAGCCATGGAAGCAGGATGCAGCAACCTCAGCCCAGATGGTTCAACAGCAGCTTCTCCGCAGGGTGGGCTCAAAGACAAGCATGGCTATTTGATGAACAGCGCATCTTGACTGCCGCCAGAAGTTTCGACTCGTTTTGCTCAAGTTTTGTTACTAAACTAAACCCCTATGTTTAACACTGACAGCTGAGAACTCGGAGACACGCCAGTTAGCCAAAAAGATCCGAGCAGAGCTGCGCTGTTGAAGCTGCTATTTCCCAGACTGAGATTCAGATACTTGCTGAAGATCATTTTTGGACGTCGCATCTGACCGTTGTCCGGAGTGTATCAACGTCTCATCGCCGCAGGGGGGACGCGGGTGAGGGGAAAAAATGGCCGAAGGGGTCACTTTGAACGGTGGCTGAGTGTCATTCAGTAATTTCTTTCATGGCGGCAGCCAGCTTGGCAGGCTTTCCTATCAGTTGATCAGTCATTATTATTGTTAGCTGCAAGCCGCACACATTTCCCTTTCTGCTTGACCGGCTCAAACCTAGGGATCAGCAAGTATGTCAGAGCAGTTGGGCAACTGTTCGCTTGGCGGCTATGATGATGATGCACATGTGAAAGCTTGCTCTGCAGGTGCAAAATGTGCTCGATGCACATGGGTGAAATATAAGCCTGTATGGCAGAAAGAATTAGCATGGTTGGACGCCAAAATGAATATGGAGAGTGGCAGTTGGGGCTTGGGCTGCCGACTGTGCCATGATGCTCAGGAAGTGAGTCCTGAAGCCATGTCCAAGTTTCCGGGTTCCAGGCATCACTTTGCAAGGTATGAAGTGAACAGTGGTGACATTCGTGTGGCTCGTTTCCGCAAACATGCTGCTTCGCCTGCTCACCGCACTGCTGAAAGTATGGCCGGTGGCAAAGCGCCAGCGCTTGAGGAAATTGGTGGTTTCTCGCCAACCATGTCTGAATGGAAGTCAGTCATCTCTCACAGCAAGCCGGGTCACTGTCAAGCCGATGTGGACGATGCAGTCTCCTGTTGTCTATGTTTGCCTTCCGCGGGCAGCAAGTTGAGTTAAAAAAGATCGCTACTAAGGCCTCTCCCTACTATTTCCAGGAAGCAGTTCGACCGCCATGTGTTGCACGTGTTCACCATGTACAGCATGGCAGGCAAATACGCGTTTGGCCGCCGTGTTCGTACACGGTTTACCATGTGCTAACATGGCAGCCTCCTTTCTTTATCAAGGAGGCTGCGCCATGTTAGCGCACGGTCTGCCAGGTGGTAGCACGGCAGGCAAATACGCGTTTGGCCGCCGTGTTCTTACACGGTTGACCATGTGCTAACATGGCAGTCCTGGTCTTTGAACTCTCCAGAGGACCCGAATTTAGTACGGGTCATGAGCATGGCAGCCAAATACGCGTTGACTCTTGCAGCGGGCCCGAATTTAGTACGGGTCACGAGCATGGCAGTCAAATACGCGTTGAATGCTGCAGTTGGCCCGAATTTAGTACGGGTCACACGCATGGCATGGTACAACCGTCTTGATTTTAGCAGGAGACATTTTAAGATCCTTGCAGTCCTGGCCCAGCTGTGAGTGTACCTCCAACTTAGTTATTACTTCCCACGGCTGAGTTTCTGCAGAGTGGGTGCGTAGTAGCCATGGCTCCCAAGAAGTCAGCAGCGAAGAGAGGCGCGGAGCTGTTGCCTGAAGCTGCTGAGCCCACTGCCAAGGCTGCCGCCAAGACTCCGAAAGCTAATGGCAGCCAAGACCCGGCACTCATGGCCAACTTGGCTTCTGGCAGCCCGGGGGTGTCTTCACAGGCGCTTTGCCTGAATGGTGGAGTTTGGGCAAAACATGCAGAGAATGTCCGACGTTTCAAAGAGCAGGCAGTGAGTGAAGATGCTGTGCAGCTCCGCCCCAACACGGCATTCTTTGAAGAATAGGCGGCATGTTTCCAGTTTGACCTGTTGAAAATCATTTGAGTCAGCTGCGCTAGCCGTGGTTACCACAATGCTTGCACATTCAGTGCTGAACATTGCCGCAATGCAATTCAACCTCGGTTTTGCTTTGTCCATCACATCGACCCATTCGACCCAGGTTTTTTGGCTCACAAAACTAGTCTAACCTGCAACATGGCAGCAGCAGGTGAGAAGAGATTGTCCCAAGGTGTCCTCAACAGAGCTGACTTGCAGTTGGGCGTCCAAGCCTTCTTGCGGTGGGATCCAGCACTCAAGGAGAAGAGCGCGTTCGAAATGGAAAATGCTCGTGAGGCTTTGATTTTTTGCCAGCCTTTCTTCAAGGAAGACCGCACCAGGTCATGTGCGCTTGCCTGTGCCATCATGTTTTTGACCATCCTTCAGATGACGCTGGACCGCCCTGGCACAGAGCCCACAGACTGTACATGGACCGCTCACCTTTACACCAGGTCTGGACAAATCCAGCCTATGCAAGAGAAGATCGAGAAATGTCCAGCTTTGACATCGCGCGACTTGCTTGCAGGAAAGGTTGGTGAGTTGGATAGCGCTGCTTCTTTTCTTTTGGGCGCCATCAACGCCATGCCTCATGACCTGCTGCCCCAGGCGCCGCATTTCGAAGGCTGTTTCGCTTGCCTGGACGACTTGTTGGTGCATATGAAGTTTCGACTTCACCAAAGTTCTTCTGCTAGTTAGGTTCGAGACCGAGGCATGTGAGCTGAACAAATGTCCTTTGGTGCTGCTCGCTTTCGCATAAACACAGTGGCCCCGAGAACGACCCGGAAACTTTCAAGGAGGACATCGCCCTTAATATCGAAACCTCCTGCAACGCCAAAGTTATTGATTGATCATAGCTCGACAGACATTATAAGGAAGGCCTTGCAAGGTCTCCTGCGCACAAGCCTGTTTTCAAGGAGGTGTTGCCTCCTTTGTTAAAATTTATGGGAGGCGCCGCTGTAAAGTTTGTGGAGGGCGCCACCGCGCAGAGCGGGGAGGGGCTCTGTGCCACAACAAAAACACCAGAATCACCTACTATACACATCGGATCTTTGCACAGTGACGCTTAGCATCAGTCATATTTGTTTTCTAGTTATAACTGATCGATTTGTAAACATCCGGAACACCATTCTTCAGTTTTAAATCCACATTACCACCCACTAAATAAAAGCAACGCCAATAACTTCATCACAGAAGCACCTTCAATCAGCACAAAGAACCTTACTAAATCCACCCCAGAAGTCAAAGAAGGCATTGCATGAAAAGACAGAGGCTTCCTCTTGGTCTATGGTTCCAGCCACTCCTGCTTCGGCAATGGGCGCAGGCATTCAGATGGGAATGCCCGGCAACATGCAGAACCAGATGCAGGGAATGCAGGGGATGCTCCAGATGTGCCAGATGATGGCCTCAAATCCAATGCTGTTCCAGATGATGAACATGATGGCAAACAGCGGGCAGCAAGAGATTCCCATCACCATGATTGGGAAGCGAAGTGACCGTGCATCGCCCTCATGCCCTGGCACACCAGCATCGTCTCCGAAGAATGACTCGCAGGAGCAAGAGGTTCCGCCCAGTGAACCTGAAGCGAAGGCCGCGGAGGCACCGAAAATTCCTTTGTTCGATTTGGGTGCGCCAGACGAGAAAGACTTGGAGTCAGATCTTCAGAAAAAGGCTCAATCGATGGTCGCCAGCCAGGCGAAGGTTATGGAGAGAGCCCTCGAAGAACGGGCCATGAAAAAACCAGCCACATGCAATCCAAAGGCAAAGGCCAAGTCGACCGCAAGCAAGTCAGAGACGAAGGCAATCAAGAAAGATCAGGAAGGCGGTCTCAAAATGGATCGCAAAAACATCCACTCTCGCACGTACACAGCGGCGAAGCTCAAGTTCTTGAAGCAAGGCTTCAAGTTGGAGGACGCAGTTGAGAAGGCAAGTGCGGTGGCGGCAAACGAGCTGAAGAAGCACGGCTTTGTGCCCCATCCAAAGAACCGGCCAAACAAGAAGAAGTGAGAGCTGCCGTAGATAGGTCCGGTGCGCCTCCTGTATGAAATGGCAACGTCACGCCATTGCAGCATCACATGCCGTGTTCCTTCGGAAAGGAGCTGCATACCATTTCAGTCCAATCAAAAAAGATCTGACCGTGTGGGCTTGCAAATTTGAGTACCTGTTTTTTGTATAGTTGCCAACATGTGCAATCACAATCTATCGCTGCCACGCGATCCGCAGGATCATTGCATGGTTGCAGCGACTCGATCTGATTTTTATACCATGTCAAACCTGGCTGATCTTAATAACCCCTTGCCACGATCATTCAATCATTTCACCGCATTACCTTGAACTTGCGAGAGCAACCTCTCTGCAAGAGATGACTGCGAGCATGGCTCTGCAATCACGATCGCTGCATGCGGCAGGTGTGCATGGCATCAAGCCACATGCAGGCCGTTGTATGGGTGAAGCCTGATTTTTATATGTTGCAGCAGACACACTCAGGCGATGAAAACTTGATGCATTCGACATGTTTGCACGTGGGCTGCATGAATGATGATTTTGACAGCAGATTTTTTTGTCTCGGGATAGCAAATCCCTGCAGGGTCAATTGTATAAACGATGCACTTGTCCAAACATCTATGTTAGTTTCAAATACCTGCAGCATTCAGGCCCAATCTCACTTCAAACATTTAAACCTGCGGTGATCGACCATGGCAAAAGGACAGTTGCTGGTTCGCCCGTTGGCCTTCTTAAATAAGCTCTTGCGGAAACCTACCCAATCCGAGAAGAAACGCTGGCTCCCTCACAAACCCTGCTACGGGGGAAAAAATGTCCGCAGAAAATTTGGAGAATGCAGCTCGAATGCATTATTCATATACTGTACTTTTGTATAGGGTCAATATGATTCGGTATTTTTTATGTGCATTTTTAAATGTATTTAATAAATACGTACATCCCCCATATACATAAAGGAAACGATTTTGCAGTATTGAGAAAATATCATATAAATAAGAAAGGCAAAAGAAGCGATATAATCCCAGCCACTTGAGGAATGAGATCGCAGAGCTGCTCGCGAAACACCGCCCGGGCAGAAAAATTGGTTTTTGGGAAGCTGAGTCCAAGTCGAACTTGTGCTTGAAAAAGGGCATGAAGCGATGACCAGAAAGCGCGCGCAGAAAATTGTTTCCACTCGCGGAGAAGCATTTTTTTTTTCAGACATGGAACTCACAGAGCGCATGAAAGAACACGCAACCTTTTGTGCACTGATGATCTATTTGTTGTTTTTTTTGCAGGTGCTATATCATCACCTCCAAGCGCACCAGGCTGCAATTATTTCACCCGAGCAATGAACAAAAACACATGTTCACAAACGTTTTTTTAAAATAGGCTTTCGCCTTTCATTCTCTAGTTTCACATGGGATATGGTTTTTATCATTATTCTCCTCTAGTGAAAATAAAAATATCAACTTCTCGTCAAAAAAATATCTATTTTTGTATTCATCATTCTTAAATTCAGTGCCCCTAAATCCATAAATCCACCACCGCTAAGTCAGACTTAGTAGAGTTAGCTGAGATAGCGTAATTGGTCTAAGTCAGACTTACGAGTTACATAAGTCTCACTTAGCAGAATTACTAAGTATGATTTATCACAGTTACTAACCCACGTAAGCCCAACTTAGCTATGTCACATAACACAGCTAATTCACATATTAAATCGCCTAATACTTACTAACTTTAATAACCATTTACCAAGCACCATGAACATCCAAGCATGCTTTTCATTTCCTTTTGCATTCCTTCGATGACAAGTTCATCAGGAAATTCTGGTTCAGTTCTCAACAGTTGAGGTTCATTCAGTTTGATTTCCGTCTGTTTCTCTTCAGTGTCTTCGTTTACTGCGACGGGAACTTCAGTTCCGTCTTTCAAAGTGACAGAGAAAACTCCGATTGCAGCAATAGTGAGTCGTTTGTCATCCGGAAGCAAGTCTTCAGGAAGTTCTTGATTTTTGGCAGTTCGTTTTTCGTTTCTAAATTTTGTTTCTGGTGGAAGTCTCGTTTCAGTTTCAGTCGTTTCAAGCGTTTCAAGTTTCAAGTCGTCTTCCGTTTCAGTGACAGTCTCATGAGTCTCTTCCGTTGGTAAATCCTCAGTACCCGTTTGAGTTTCACGTTCGAGTCCTGGTGGTTCACGGACTCTTCCAGTGGAAGTCAAAGTTGGAGGCAAAACGAATGAAGTGTCAATCACCTGTTTCGCTTTTGGATCCCAAGGAGTCGCCTGAAGTTTCAGAAACAGTTTTTGATCCCATTGTTTGGATGGGACCTGCCGCTTGATAGTTCTCACCTTAGTGATGCCAGTTCCAGTGGACACAATGTGCTCATCAGTGTCACGTCCTAACCAAATGCCAGTGCTCCATGCAGTGTCTCCTTTGTCTTTCAGTTTTCCAGGATAACGAAACAGAACAGTTTCTCCGAACTCACACACAGTCGAGCTATAGTTCTTTCCCCAACGTCGAAAGTATGAGGTGTTTCCATCAGAGTGAGTGAGAAAACGGTTCAAAGTAAACTGCGTGTGTTTCACAATCCATGGATAAACAGCATGTTTGTTGCACGGAAAATTGCACATTGTACCGCTCCTGCAGTTGCAGTCTTATTGCTCTTCCTTGACCGTAAAAGTTTTGTTGAGACTTACCGACAAAACCATGTGCCTGTTTCCAGTCACGTGGAGTTGCTCTCATGGACATTCCGCCAAGTCCAGTCAGCGTTTCTGAAGCCAAAGCCTTCAGTGAAGGTTCTGGGTCGTATTGAATGATACCATTAGTTCTTCCAATCTCAAAAACAAAACGTTTCAGTTCAGCAATACAGTACTGGTCTCTACCTTTTGCTAGGAGTCACAACAGCAGAACCGAATCCAGTTTGGATGTCTACAGCAGTAAGAACAGTCGCGGTTGGACATCCATCACCGGTTGTCAGAAAACAGTAGTCAACTTGGATGACCGGTTGTCTGTCCAAGTTTCTTCTGGATGGAGTTTCTTTACCTTTTGCTTTGACACAAATTCCACACCAGCTACGGTATGGCAAGTCGTGAAGTTTTCGTTCTTGCTGTGTCGGTTCCAGTGGAGAAGTCAGTGCCTTAGGCTTACGCGCAGTGACATCAAACGTCTCCTGTTCTGGTTCCTCAGTGAAGTTCTCCAGTGGTGCAGGCTCAAAGATGGTGTATCCGATCCAACTATGGCCTACATCAAGTCCTACTTCATATTGGTCAGTTTGCTGATCTTCTTCTCTCCACCAGTTGCAGTAAGTCATTCCATCATTCTTGGGTCTGTCCGGTGATTTCACAAAAACAATCCAACGCAATGAACCAAGTTGGTCCTCAGTTGGTCCTCCGTCAGTGAAGTCAGGCTCATACAGCGTGCTTCTCAATTGACAATGGAATCTGACCCATGCAATTGGAAGTTGAAACCAATAGTCACCAGTCCTTTGTTCACCAGTGGTTGGATCTGGGACAAAGAAAAGTTCAGTTAGCTTCACCCTAAGGTAACTATAGAGTTCCAGGCAGTACATGACAGCAGTTCGGCCGTCAGTTTCTTGCCGATCACGTCTTCATTCAGTGAACAGCGTAGTTCCTCGGTGTGTCGCTTTCGTGACTTCCGTGAAGTGTCCTCAGTGACTTCAGTGTCTTGAACCTGTTCAGTGTTCACAGCCTCAGAGGCTGGAGTTGGAACACCTGGAGGTGGTCCTTTAGTCAAATACCTACGACTAGGAGGAGGTGAGTTGAGGAGAAAAACAGTTCTACCTTTCCAAAACTCATCCTGTCTAGTATTTGGCTCTGACAGGTTCTTGAAGTCAAAGTCCACGATCTTGTCTGTCTTACCTTGTCCATAGTCCAAGTAAGTGGCTCGAACTCCTGAGGGTTGGTTCAGTTTAACAGGACATCCAGGAACAGGATCTTCTTCTTGGTCGCTTGTGAATTCTCACCAATTTGTAGTTTGCTTCATCAAGTTGCCATTCATCAACATGATAGTACTTTGGCTTGATAGTTCCAAAGAGAGATTCCAATTTCTCAAGTGGATCATCTTGAGTCACGACAGTACTCTCTTCGGTAGTGACATGACTCATGCTCAATTCAGTGGAAAGTTCTCTCATGTGTTCTTCGAAGTGCGCAGTGAGTTCTGGTGGAACATTGGAGAATGGTTCGAGTGATGGTGTCAGGTACAGCAAAGTGCCGCGTCGAGCGATTGAATTTGTCTCGCCTTCACGGGTCAGTAACATCAAACAGTCCTTTCCAAGAATAGTCCAAAAACCTTGCAAAACCTTTCTTGCAACAGAAACGAAACAAAAGGAACATCGCACGTCGCACACATAATAGATGACATTCAAGTATACACCGTCACAGTTGTACCGAACTAGTCTACGTCCGTATAATTGCAGTGGTTTCCCAGTCACACTTCTCAACTTGGGAGGATTCTCGCCTAGTGGAAGGAGAGGGTAGTCAGAGGCATAGTTCGCAGGACAACAGTGAGCAGCAGCTCCAGAGTCAAACAGGACCCAATCCTCTTGAAGTGAGTGAGGCTAAGCAAGTCTCGTGAAACAAATCCAGGGCATCTGAAGCATTTGAGGATTGAGAGTCAAGTGGCAGTCCTTCAGATCTACCAAACATGCTCAAAACAGCAACAGTACCCAAAAGTGCTCCGGCAGTACCTAACTTCGAAGTTCTTCGAACAGTACTCTTGTTGGTCAAAGTCGAGCCAGTGCTTTGCAGGCTCTCTGGGTCAAAACGAACTGCAGAAACAGTAGCAGTGGGCGCAGGCGGTTGAGCACCCGAAGCTAAGTTTTGAGCGACTGGCTGTGAAACTAAGTTTGCATCGTTGGATCCAGTTGGGTGTCCGACAGTCTGAGTGTCTGGCCAATTCTGTTCATGCCAGTATCCAGTCGAGTCGTCACTCTTGTCGGTCCAGTCCGTCCGATCTGTCCAGTCCTGGCAGTACTGATTCTCATACCACTCTTCAATTACTGAACATAACCAGT